AGCCATGAGCTGCTTGTTCTCTGCCATGCCCTGTCACTCTGCCTTGGAACCAGCCAACTATGCACTGAAATTTCTACAGACAGGGAACCAAGATGCAGAAACACTTCTTGCTTTAACTTGTGGGTGCTGGGTGTTTCAGCTCAGCAGCAACAGAAGTAACAAAGCCATAATCACTTCTGCCATCACTCCCATGTCCCATTCTTTTCCTCAGTTTCACATTTGGGTGAGACTCAGTGTGCATAATGTATTTTAATCTATTTGTGTCCCCTGTGATCTATCCTTACACACCCTTTGCCCACCCCTTATTATCTTCCCTTACCATTGTCCAATAATAATCTTCCTTCTACTTTTTTTGGTCAATTTATTAGATAACACATATTAGGGAGAACATACGATATTAGTCTTTCTGACTCTGGCTTATTTTACTGAAATGATTAATTCCTGATCCATTCATCTTTCTGAAAATGACAAACATTCATTCTCAGTATGTCTGAATGACATTCCAGTGTGCATATGTACCCCTTATATTTTATTCACTCCTCTGTTGATGGGAACGTGTGCTAGTTTCAGATCTTGGCTTTGTATGTTTATGTCTCAGCATAGAAAATCAGTATGAAGGTACTCTATGGTATGCTGACTTTAATTCCTAGGGAACTAAACCATGAAGTGGTATGGATATAGCAAACAGAGGTTTAGTCTTAGCTTTTGAAGGAACCTGTATGCTGATTTTCACAGTTGCTACAATAATGTATATTCCCACCAACAGTCTAGAAGTATTCCTTTTACCCAGCATCATGCCTTCATTTCTTATTTTTTGCATTCTTGATGATAGCCATTCTGATTAGGGTCAGACAGAATTTTAGTGTAGTTTCAACTTGCATTATCCTAATTGCAACAGATATTGAACAATTTTCATACACTTATTCATAAAGTTCTTTTTAGAAGTTTTCTTTTACCACTTTATTGATTGCATTATTTGATTTTTTTCTGTTGAGTTTCTTAGTTCTTTATGATTGTGGATATTAGTGTTCTGTCAGAGAATAGCTGGCAAATATTTTCTTCTTTTCAGCAGCTTGTCTGTTTATTCTTTTTTTTTTTTTTTTTTTTTTCAGAACTGGGGGTTGAACTCAGGCCCTTGCACTTGCCAAGCAAGTGCTTATTCTACTGAGCTATCTCCCCGGCCCCTTGTCTGTTTATTCTGATTGTTTCTTCTGTTCTGAAGAAAATTTTTAACTTGGAGCAGTCCATGTTTTGATTCTTGCTATTATTCCCTAAGTAATACTTGGTCAGGACTACGGTTTCAGTTGTTTGCCCCATGATTCATTGCAATCCCCATAAAAATACTAAAGACACTCTTGGAAGAGCTAGAAAAAAAATTAAAAATTCATGTGGAAACACAAAAGACCCAGTATAGCCACAGCAATCCTAGTCAAAAAAGAGCAAGTCTGGAATCATCAGAACACCCAATTTCAAATTGTACAACAAAGTCATTGGAATAGAAACAACATGGTGCTGGCAGAAAACAGACACGTGGGCCAGGTGTCCTTTGGTGAGGAAGGTGTGATGGTCTTTGTGAAGGTTGTGGTTCCGGCGGTTTTTTTTGAGACACTCTCAGATAATCTTGCTTGAGAACCCTGAAGCCTAATTGACCTCAGTGATTTTATTTTGGTTGTGATGTTATGCGTAGGCTCTTAGTTTCCTGTTGCTCATATAATTGTCACACATTTAGTGACTTACACACTATCAACGTATTACCTTGCAGTCCTGGAGGTCAGATGTCTCCCACAGTTTAAATCAGTGTGTCAGCAAAACAATGCAGCCATTTCCTTTCAGGAACATTTGAGGATGGAATGTATTGCTTGCCTTTGCAGTTTTCATGGTTTTCTACTCGGCTAGACATACAGTTCTCTACTTGGAAGCCAGCAGCAAGATTCTCAACCTCTGCTCATTACCTCTCTGATTTTTTCTGGCCACCCTCCTTCTTTACAAGGACCTTTGGGATTGTATGCGGCCCAGCTGGGTAAACCAGGGGATTACCTCGTCTTATCTTAGTCACGTCTTCTACATCCCTTTTCTCCATGGAAGACAGCATGTTTACCGATTCTGGGAATTCAGGCCTTGTGAACTAACACTGTGACCTGGGGCAGGAGTGGTGCTGTCATTTTGAGAAAATCATGTGGATCCTATGAAACAGAGTGCTCTCTTT